GAGACGGTTAGTAGGAAGTTTGAGAAGGTGCTGGTTAATGTGTCCAAGCTTGCAGCTGATATCATTAGGCCAATAGATCCTGGATTTAGTTCTGTGCATCGAAGGTTACAATCCCCTTGGTTTTCTCCTTACTTTGATAAATGCATTGGAGCAATAGATGGAACACATGTCCCTGTAGTGGTGCCAACTAAGCAGGTAGTACAACATATGGGAAGGCATGGATACACTAGTCAGAATGTGTTGGCCATATGTGACTTCGAAATGAGATTTACTTTTGTTGTGGCGGGATGGCCTAGATCGGTTCCATAATATGAGGGTATTCAAAGATGCAATTGAGAAGTATGGCGACAAGTTTCCACATCCCCCTCAAGGTATTGACTTGTCCTATGATCTCTTCTTTCACCTAGATGCTCATACTTTCCATATGGCTTACAAAAAAATTATGATTGTGTAGGGAAGTTTTATCTTGTTGACTCGGGTTACCTAAACCGATAGGGTTATCTTGCACCATACAAGGGTACAACGTATCATCTCCCAGAGTTTCAACAAGGACCAATGCCAAGAGGTAAAAAGGAGCTCTTTAATTATGCATATTCTTCACTTCGAAATGTCATCAAGCGGTCTTTTAGAGTTTTGAAGATGAAGTAAAGGATTTTGTTAGATTTACCGAGTTATCCGATGCCAAAGCAAAGCCAAATAACTATTGCGTGCATGGCCCTTCATAATTTCATTCAAGAGAGTGCTTTAGCGGATAAGGACTTTGATTGGTGTGATAAAGATGAGCAGGGGAGCAGGGTGGGCCGGCTGGCGAAGCGGGAGTACATCTCACAAAGTCTCACAAAGTCTAAAATTGGCTATGAGCTGTGAGAAGCGGCGTTAGGGTTCGGCTTTGAGATCCTTTCCAAAAATCGACACCCTTTCTCTTCTCTGTACTTCACCCGATTAGGGTTAGGGTTCCGTTAGGTAAGCCGCCGTCCTCGCTCTTCCCCTTTCCTTTTTCCCTCTTATGTCTTTGAATCTTGCTGTGTTCTTCTCGGTTCTTTGCTGATTGGGGATTAGGGTTAGGGTTAGGGTTAGGGTTAGGTTAGTTGTTCATCTTCCCCGATGGAATTAGGGTTCGGATTGGTGCTTAGGGTTTGAGTTAGGGTTCAAACCCTCTGCCTCTTTGCTTCTTCCCCTTCCCCGGTCGTAGATCCGGCTGGTTAGGGTTTGACCGAACCCACTGTCTCGATCCAAATTGGATCTTTCTCATCTACTTCTAAATAGCTGCTTGGCGGTGATCTGGCCACCGTTTTTCTCCATGGAAATTGGCAGAGGGATCTCGATTCGGGCTCTGGGTCCTCGCCTGAGGGATTGGCGCACTCAGCTGCGAGTTGCCGATGGTGGGATACGGTGGATTAATTTGGGGAATTGGATTGGATTCAGAGTCGTTGCACAGGGAAGGACCTGCTACTGCTAGTAGGACGATCCGAGGGCATGCTCAGTGTACCTGCGGTTTAATAATTTGTTAGTAGGAGAAAACATCAGAGAGCTCTGAAAGCGAGAGAGGGTTTTCTCAGCTTACACTTTAGAGGGTAGTCAGCTACTTCAATGGTGGTTCTGCTACAACACTTCGCGTGAGCTTCCATGCCATGCATGGATCGTCGGCTTCTTATATTACAGAAAAAAGAAGCATATAAGCGCGAGATGAGAGAAGGAGATCAGCTAGAAATTAACAGAGTAGCAGATCTTCGTGGAATGGAAGGGTGCTTGGCTATGGCATATATCGTATCGTACATACAGTCCACTCAAATAAATACTATAGTACGTACAACATTTTGAGATTACCACATTGCCCTGATGATTTATTGTTATTGCTGACTTATGACGTATGCAGCGATGCACGAGAGGTGCATTGCATGTGATAGTACTCCTATTAATTTCGGAGCAGTTGCAGGTGGAATCAATTCCGACAAGGAACCGCCACCGAACCGTACGGTGCCAGTAGGTAGCACCTGTAGCACCCAAAGACTGACTTGGCAGGTGTTTAGTTCGTGAAAATTTAGCAATTTGGCTACTGTAGTATTTTTATTTGATAATTAGTGTTCAATCATGGACTAATTAGGCTCAAAACGTTCGTCTCGTGATTTTCAACCAAATTATGCAATTAATTTTTTTTTCGTCCACATTTAATGCTCCATGCACGTATCGCAAGATTCGATGTGATAACTGCTGTAGCACTTTTTGAGAAAAGTTTTTAGAACTAAACATGACCGGTGTGGCACTAGTTTGACAGCTCACAACTGTGTGTGAACATACCAGACTTTGTGAGATGTACTCCCGCTTCGCCAGCCGGCCCACCCCTGAGAGTACTGCTCCACCTCGCTCAGATCGTCACTAAAATTGGCTGTGAGCTGTGAGCCAGCCAATACTTTCACAAAAATTTACATATATCATTTTTTGATAAATATTTTTATAAAAATAAGTAGTCAAAGTTATACTTGGTAGATCATGTCACTGTCCAAAACGACTACATTTTTTAGTATGGAGGGAGTATAATTATACTTCTCTTCGTAGCTCAATAAACTAAAGTTCGACCAAGCTTACAGAGATTAATTATCAATATTTATGACACAAAATATATATACTTTGAAAATATATTTCATTACAAATCTAAGAATATACTCTTTGAGCAAAAAAATCTAATAATATATGGAGGCGGTAGTTTGTGAGTTGGCATAGAAGGGGCTGAAGACAACTGCTTAGAGAGAGAGAGAGAGAGAGAGAGGGGCTGCTACAGGCCGGTGCTTGCACTTGATGAGCCACCGTCTGTTGAAGGTTGTCCTCGCCATTACCGATGAGAAATGATTTTTTAATAAGAGAACATGTCTACACGGGACTAAGATATAAAGAGATGTGATAGGTAGATGAGGAAGAGGGAACACATGTGCTTGGACAAATTGTTATTATGTAGAAAGACATGTGCTTGGACAATTTGTTATTCTATAGAAAATATCCATTGTGAACATAATTTCTATATAGTGTGTACATAAATTAATAAACATAGAAACTATCTGTGCTTTCTAAGCTAGCATTGTAGGTGCCCTAAGCGGAACGAGTGGGTGAACGTTTGAGCTCGTTTGACCAACGGTGACACCTAAGCCTCAAAAGTCAAATATCAAAATTGAAGAGTTGAGGACCTAAATGAAACCAATCTACCAGCTTGCATCCTCATATTTTAACTCAAGAGTTGTGGACCCAGGAGATACCATCGTGAAGTGGAGGTATCGTTTATGAGTTTTACCGTTTTTTTACCCTCCAGTGAAAAGAGCTTTCCTTAGATTTTACTATACTAGAAGAATAAATGTGGCCCACAGTTCGTGTGGGGAACCCGACAAAAAACACCTGGTATAACACACTTTCAGAATAACCACTGCAAGTTGTTTGTGAAAAAAAATTAAAAAGGACCACGCACACAACTAAAAACCACCAGTAGCATAACACCGAGGCAAAAGAAAAAACAAATAGGATCTATTTGGTTAAATTGTGAGCTGTGAAAAAGTTATTGTGAGTTGCAATAAAGCTGTTGTGAGTTATATGTTGTATAAAAGTTGTAAGCTGTTTGGTTGAAACAAGTATAAAACCTACCCTCATTTTCTATCTCCCTTCAAACAACTGTACTACGTGAAAACGGCTGCTTCTGCAAAAGTAGCTTTTGATTTCACCTGTTGGTTGTCTTTCTACTTTTCAGTAGAAAAAGAGTTTTTTAGAATCCTTATCATGTTGGAGGACTAGAAGCACAAAGCTACAACAAGTAGCACTAGAAAAAGAGACACACAACTACCCATGGGCCACAAGGGCTGCCAAAGGACAACCACATATAAATAGAAACTACTCAATGCAGAAGACTAGAAGGGGAATCTTCGTAGCCATTTCTTTGGAATAAGTCTATGGATTGTTCCATCGAGTTGCCATCTCCACTAGAAGGGGAATCTTCCTATCTAATTCTTTGGGATGAGTCCATGCATTGTTCCATCGTTCAGAACATGTAGACTAGTTTCTATGGTCATGGCAACCAATCACACCAACAGAGGGTATTAGAGAACAAAGAAAAAATCACTCCCTCCGTTTCATAAAAAACGTCATTCTTACTTCCTGAGAAGTAAAACATTATCAATTTTGACCAATTATATATAAGAAAATACTAATATTATACTGCATAATCAGTACCATTGGATGAATAACTGAATATATTTTTTTATAATAAACTTATTTAAAGATATAAATATTGCCAATATTTTCTTGTCAAATTTTAAAAACTTTAACGAGCTAATTCCATAGCCACACTATTTGTAGTACGGAGGTGTAGTTGTGTTGAGTTGCGTGGGCAGTCTGTGTGGACCCTAACCACTCTGACGCGCTTAGTTAGCCAGTGGCCCAAATGAATGTCCGCAAGAGTAGGTGAGGTAGACATGCAGTTTATTTATTTGGACGTTGCTGCTGATCTCTCTTTCATTTTTCTTCTATACATATAAAGTACATGTTCCAAGCGGGCAGAGCGAGCTCTAGAATCTAGATAGGAGTCAAGTAAGGTGCAAGGGGCGGATCGATTGGCGGAAGAAGTTGGGGGCGGCGTGACTCTCAGCTACAAGCAACCGGTGAGTTTTGCTCTTTCTCTGGGGTCCATTCTAACATGAGAAAACAATCTGACACATGAAACCCCTATAAATACATATTTAAGAGCTTTCAGAAAATTTTAAACGACGTGCACTGGCATACTGTATCTACAGGTGTACATGACTTTTTTTCTTTCTAAATTTAGTTTGTAACTCAATTTTTTGTGACAAGCACATGTATAAATGCACTACGTATGTGTACCATTTCAAACTTTCTGAAAACTCCTAAATATGTTCCCACTAAAGATAGGATATGTTTGTCTGAATAATGTTTCCCTACTATACACAGCTCACACATACACACAACAAAATTTGTGGCTTGTGCCCTGAGAGGAAGATCCGGCCATGGCAGAGGTTGTAGCGGGGGCACTACCGAACCTCCTCGCCAAGCTTGCTGATCTGATTCATGGCGAGTACAACCTGCAAAAGGAGGTGAAGAGCGGGATCAAGTTCCTAATGGAAGAGCTTGAGAGCATGAAGGGTGCTCTAGAGAAGATCTCAAATACACCAGTACACAAGCTGGACAATCAGGACAAGATTTGGGCTACAAACGTCAGGGAGCTCTCCTATGACATAGAGGACAGCCTTGACTTATTCATGGTTCGATGCAAAGGGAAGAAGCTAGTCAAACAGCATGGGTTCAAGGAGGCCATTGATAGGTGCCTCGAATGGTTGATGCAGCCCAAGATTCGTCGTAAGATTGCTATAAAAATCAGAGACATCAAGAGCCGTGTTGAAGAGGTAGCCAAGCGACGTGATCGGTACAAGGTCATCAGTAATGATGCTGCTAAGCCTGTAACAGTCGATCCTCGATTGTTGGCTCAGTACTATAAGGCAGTAGAGCTCATTGGCATTGACGAGGCACGAGAAGAGGTAATCAAGATTCTCGGAGATGACAATGAAGTGCATAGGCAGCAATTTCCCCTAAAAGAAAAAGTGTGTAGGCAGCAACAAGACACGATAGTTTCTATTGTTGGATTTGGTGGCCTAGGGAAGACAACTCTTGCCAATGCGGTGTATGAAAAGCTTAGATCACGATTTGATTGCTCCGCCTGTATTTCAGTATCTCAGACTCCTGACATGGATATATTACTCAAGGACATGTTCTATCAACTTGCAAAGAAAAGGAATGCAAGAAATCAAGTTATGAATGAGGTCAGAGAATTCCTCAAGAAGAAAAGGTACGAAAGCATCTCAGAACCTAGCCATCATTTTCTGTCTAATAATATGGTTTCTTTTTCTTGGAAATTGTCCTTCACTGTAATTCTTTTAGACACGTCTCCATTTTTTTCACATGCATTTGAGAAAGGAACACATACAGAAATGGAGAGAGGTCCCAACAGATGAATCACCCCTGGAAAAAATCTGTCCAAATAAATTTGTAACCTTTGTTATATTATGTTAGACGAATGCTAACTTTATATCAAAATGGTAGATCTTGACAAGATCTATAACTTTTGTAGCTAACTACCTTTTCATCTTAGATCTTTTAGAGCCTAATATTCATTAGAATTTCTCAGTTTTTTAAATTGATATTTTTTAATTTTTCAAACTACCTGGATGGAGACATGCTCTATACTAGAGTTCTAATACTCAACGTGATCTAAAACTTTATAGATAACAAATTTTCATTCAAGATTGTCTAAAAGCTCAAATTTCAATATAAGATTCTGTAAAGTGAATGTAAAATAAAATCTTCCTTGGCAGGATTTTAGGAGACATGCCCACTGATTAATTAGAGTCAGGCACTTTTTGGGAGCCGTGTCTATAAATGGTCAAACAGCCTCTAAGAGCAAGGCTAATAGTTACAGCCGGCTGCTGGCTGTAAGGTTCTTTACAGGCTTCTCCCAGTCCACTCATATAGTAATAAGGTTTTCGCTATTAATACATGGTCCATTTATCTCTCTCACAAACTTTCTTGGTTCTTGTGCCTAAGCTGGCTATAAACTTACAACCCGCTTCTTCTCTCTCTCCTCCACCTTAGCATTTAGCCAGCTTACAGCCTCTTATTATACTTGCTCTAAGCAAACGCCCACCTCTATTAATCATTTGCAGAGGAGAGAATCCTAAGGAGAGCGTCTCTGTTAATCTAGTACTGTTTATAGATGCAATCGCCTTAAGATGCCCGCCTCACAGAGGCGCCTCTGTAATTAGCTATTTTCAAAGCAGGGCTAAGTGTGCCCCTATAAAAATTGATTGACAGAGGTGACACGTTTAAGAGACCCGCTTCTAAAATAGCTGTCCTAGAAAAATTCATGATTTTTTCTTATAGACTCAGATGAAGACAAATTTTATATTAAAATTGTAGAGCTCGACACGGTCTACAACTTTGTATTGGCAAGTTCTTGATTTGATACTGCTTAGAGTCCCAACAATCCAACCTATCTGCCAAACGATCTCATGACAAAGTAATTTTGAATCATTATCTTAAATGTTTCCTGAGAGAATCTACATCCAAAACGCTTCACTAAGAACCTAGATTCCTATCAAATGCACCCTAAATCATATATAGAGCCGTTTTATCACCTACACTAAACAAAGGAAGCAAGATGAAGTGGATACGCTTCATCAAATTACAACGCTATTACCTTTTACCTCTAGACATCTTGACTGAATCTTTAATAGTGCCATAGGTGGCTTTGTTATACGTGGTACATAATTAAGCAAACTAGAACCTTAACTAGCTTAATCCGATAGTAACATAGCTTTCTTGTATTCTGTGCACAAATACTTAATTGTTATTGATGACATATGGGACATCACTGTTTGGGAAATGATAAAATGTGCTTTGCCGGATAATTGTTATGGAAATAAAATTATCACAACAACCCGTATTCTCAATATCGCCGAACAAGCTGGTGGTGCATACAAGTTAGAGCCACTTTCTATGAACAACTCCCGAAAATTACTGTATCAAAGAATATTTGGAAATGAAAGCAAAGACAACAATGAAGACAATGAAAAATGTCCCGATGAGCTGGTGGAAGTATCTGAAAAAATATTGAAGAAATGTGCGGGTGTACCCTTGGCTATCATTACCATGGCTAGTCTATTGGCTTGTAAAGCAAGAAATAAAATGGAATGGTGCAAGGTGTGCAACTCTGTTGGTACTGGTCTTGAAAACAACTCAGCTTTGGAGAACATGAGAAAGATTTTAGCATTCAGCTATTTTGATCTGCCATACCATCTAAGGACTTGCTTGTTATATTTAAGTGTGTTTCCAGAAGATTATAAAATTAGCAAAAACCGTTTGATATGGATGTGGATTGCTGAAGGTTTTATCCAGTCTGGAAGACAGTGGAGGTGCCTATTTGATTGCGGCGAGAGTTATTTCAATGAGCTCATAAATAGAAGTATGATTCAACCCATACATGACACATACACTGGCTTGATAAAACAATGCCGCGTACATGATATGATCCTTGATCTAATTTGTTCCTTATCAAGTGAAGAGAACTTTGTTACTATACTAAATGATGTAGAAGGCACATCTCCATCAAATATGACCCGGAGGTTATCCTTTCAAAATGGCAAGGAGGCTCATGCTGCTACTTTGAACTTGCAACAAGTGAGGTCAGCTGTTGTCTTTCCATCTGGCATTGATTTTGTTCCAGCCATTTGGAGTTTTCGAGTTTTACGTGTACTAGATTTACACCACTGTACTCTTTCACAAGATTACAGCCTTACCTACCTTGGTAACTTATTTCACTTGAGATACTTAGGGCTAAGTTGCACAGGTATTGTTCAGCTCCCTGAAAAAATAGGAAACTTGAAAAATTTGCAAACACTGAACGTGATGCACAATCAAATTTCTTGCTTGCCATCGTCTGTTGTTCAGCTAAGAAATTTGATGTGCCTATTGGTTGACAAGTGGACAAGAATGCCAAATGGAATTGGGAACCTAACATGCCTTGAAGAGCTGTCAGTATTAAGAATCGACAAGTCGAGCGTGGACATTATAGAAGAGTTGGGCCAGCTCTCTGAACTGAGGGTGCTACATATCGTCTTGGGTAGATGGGAAGACAAGTTAGTGGAGTGCTTAGGCAAGCTAACAAAGATACAGAATTTATCTATCGAGGTCCCCGGTGGTGATGAACGCAGCATTGGTGGATTGGATGCCTGCTGGGCCGACGTCGCCCCTCGACACCTCAGTGCACTGAAGACACGGCGGAGCTGCTGGTTGTCGAAGCTGCCAACTTGGATGATGAATCCGTCTGGTGTTGTGAGTCTCACCACCGTATCCATTGCCATGACTGAGCTAGAGCCAGTTGACCTCAAAATCCTTGGGAGGTTTCCAGCCCTCCGCTATCTAGATCTGGAGGTGCACCAGGAGAACCACAAAAACCATGATGAATTCGCTTTTGGTGCTGGTTCGTTCCCATGCCTGGTACGCGGCGAGTTCCGCAGGTTCGCATGGCCTGTGGTATTTGGACGAGGAGCTATGCCCAGGCTCAGAGAGCTCTTTTTCAGCCTTTCCTATGTGAGGATGGGAGGAGAAACTGGTAGCAGCCGTTTGGGACTAGGGAAGCTGCCATCTCTCCAGCGTATCAACTTTGACTTCGTGTCTGAAGGCGTCACCAAGGAGGCAGTGAAGCAAGCTAAGGCTGCGCTGTGTCTTGCAGCACAAAACCATCCCAATCGTCCCACTCTTCGAATCTGATCAAATCAGATTGATGCACGGGTTAAGATGCAGGTGCGGTACTAATTTACGTACTATGCATTTTCCTTCTATCTGCCTCTTACCATTTCACTTTCTATCTGCCTCTAACTTTATTTTCTTATCTAAACAAAATGGCAGACGACGCACATGGGCTTGCAAGGCTACTACCACTACCTCCTCGTCAGCCTCTTCATCGTCGCCACCGTCCTCGGCGCGCTCCTGCTGGAGAGCTTCCCCGTGGACCTCGCCTTGGGCGTCCTCATCGCGCTGCAGGGGCTCTGGTTCTACCAGACGCCGTTCACGTTGTACCTGTACGGGCCCATGCTCCCTGCGGGCTGCGCCCGTGAGGCCGTGACGCCAACGGCCACATCGACTGCAGCGCACGCGCCGCGCAGGAGCGCGCCGAGCAGCTCGCCAAACTCCAGTTCTTTGGGCTCATCTTCGCGTTCGTCGTGCTCGGGTGCTACGCCGTTGCTGCGGCGAGGTATGGGCATCCGGAGCTGGCCGTTATGCACGACAGGCACGTCGCGGCCATGGAGTGCCTGGGTGACGCCGGCGGTGGTGGCGCCAGGAGGAGTGCGCGATCTAGTGGCCAATGGACAATGGTGCTGCTCTGGACTCTGGTTCTTGGATTTGATATAGCTGTATAGGAAATTCAGAGTACATGCATAATCAGAAATAGCCTGGCCATTCAGATTTCAGAGTTTTCAGACTTTCGGTATCAGGGTAGAGAGTGTACATTTTGGGATTAATTCAGGCAAAATTACCAAAGCTTTTTCTCATCAAGTTAAGAGTTTTTGCTCCGGTGGTCCTCTTCAAAAAAGTTGCACAGATCTTAAAGCGGCAGGTTAACTAATTATAATTAATTTTATGTTTGGATCTGGACTGGCCCGTACCCATGTCCAACACTGGCCAGCCCTTCCCCACCAGCCCAGATTTACTCTCTGTTCTGTGTTCATTCCCCGCGCCGCATTCGCGATGGTCTCGTAGTGCAGGCGGACGAGAGAGGCAGGGGCGACGGCGGACCAGGCGGACGGTGACGGCGGAGACTCCTTCGCCGCGCTGCATCCCCGCCATGGCGCTGGTCTCTAGTGGGGGCGGATGGCGGCGTAGGCGGACGGCTACGGCAGCGGCAGACGGCGGCGGACGGGTTCGGACGGTGACGGCGGTGGCTCGGCAGGGCTACGCACCGATGTGCTAAATCATAAGATTCTTCGTTGCTATTTCGTTGCTCAAATGGACTAGATTGATCTGGATCGAGGCACAACTGAATATTGATCAATGTATATGGTTCATCGATGATAGTTGTTGCTAGTGCGTTACTCGAATGAACTGAAGTGATCTTAAGTATGATCAGAGAAGCACCTACAAGAAAGGATACGCGTTTTCTTCTATCTGAATGTTGATGGATGGTACGGTTAATTTATCATGAAAAAAAAGGATGGGTAAGATATGCTTGTTGGTTTTTCTTACATGATACAGTATATTCTAATCCTGGAAAGGTGCCTAGACAGGAGGTGACAACTGCTGCTAAGCCGCGTCGTAAAGAAGGCGGACGGCGCTGTGGAAGTACCACGGTGGACGGCGACAGCCATTGGCTTCGGTCGCTGCGAAAGACGGCCCCGGCGGCGCGGCAGTCGGTGCAGAGTGGGGCGCGGGCGTGGCAGGAGCAGACCCTGTTGGTGCCGTGCACGAGTGACGAGTCGGTCGTACGGCAGGCAGAGCCTGGCGGCATCGGCGCGGCAGTAGACCTCCGCCGCCGTTGTTCCGCAGTAATCGCAGGTCGCCGCCTCCGTGCCGGCGTCACCGCCGTCCGCCCGAGTTCCCGTTCGTACGAGGAGAAATGAAGGACGACACGTTGATGGGGAGATCGAGAAACCGAGCGAAGTGAATCTGGGCTCTGGCGGACAAGGGCTGGGCTTCCTTTGGGCATGGATAGGGCCGGCTCCAGTCCAAATCCAAGACGAAATTAATTAATCCAGTGCTTTAAGCTCCGTACAATTTTTTGAAAGGGAGTAAAACTCTCAAATTTATACATGGTTTCACGAGTTGCTTAACTTATGCTGTAACTGTTACTGATTTTAGATGAGGGAGATATAAAACAAGAGGAATACTTGTTAGCGCCAATGTTCTAAATAGCGGGCTAAGCCCTTTAGCGGCAGCCTATTCAATGGCTAAGAAAAGCTATAGCGGGCTAAGCTATTTAGCGGCTGAGCAAAAATTATGTCAACCATTAGATAATTTTACATGTAATAAGCATAGAAGATGAGGCCAATTCATTTACAGTAAAGAGTACACCAATCGCGAGCAGCAGTAGCAATGCGGTATAGAAAATCCTAAACGAATCAGCTATTCAGTTCACCATGAGTTGCAGCACTGCTGTACAACCATTCACATCCAGGGATCCAGCAGCCAGTCGAAAACAATACAGGAAATTAGAAATACGAGAAGAACAGAGGAATATTGCCTCTCACAGCGACGGCTGCAGACCTGCACTCCAGCGTTGTGAGCCCGTGACCATCCCCACTGCTGTCCAGTCGCCCCTCGCCAGTCCAGCGCTCCCGCTGCTCGCTAGTTGCAACAACAACAGCTGCCGCCGCCATCACGAGCTCGGAGAGGAACGACCGAACAAGAGAATAGCTAGGTTACCGAGTCTTACTGCCAGCACTTTGGGCCTGCGCTTGATTTGGGCAGGAGGGAAATCAAAGTCCACGCAGTCTTGCCAGATAGCGGCGTTAAATAGACAGACGCTACGCTTCGACAAGTTTAGCGCTACAGAATTATTTCCGCTATTTAGCGGCTAAAAGCGCGCTATTCCGGCTAAAGCGATGTCTATTTAGCGCCGCTATAGCGCAATGGTGTTCTTGCAAATTGTGTTGTAGATGACCCAATAATGTTTGTTTCATTCATTCATGGAGCGAACCAAATTGTGTTGTGCCTCTCCTTTCATACCTCAATCGAAAGCACAGAGTTATTACAAAAACCAAAATTAATAAAATAACTAAATTAAACTAAGAAAACTGATTACAGAAACCAAAATTATGATACCAGTAATGCTTTACACAGATTGAAGGAGTCATGTGAGCTGTTCTCTTGTCGGCATTCACAATGTGAAAGCCGGACTGTCAGACTGGCAAAGCTGCAACAGCTGCCTGGCAGAGTACCTGGCTACGTCCAGCGGGACATGCATTTTTTTTTGTTTATAAAGGAAGTCTTTGTATTAATTTTAAGATCAGAGTACCGAGTTGATACAATGTAATCTTGAAATTGCTTCTCACCTATGCATAACTAGCTAGATTCACAGAAGGTAAAAAAAAAAAGCGTACCAGTCAGAGAGCCCTCCTGCTGCGGGTCCAGGAAGGGTCGTCTCAGGCAATGCGAGGAGACCGCGACTCGAACCCGGTACCTTCTGATCACAAGCGATAAGACTCTACTGCTTGCACCAGACCCACCCATTCACAGAAGGTAACAAAAATTTAATAAATTTATAGACACACTTAGGCTTCTCAAAAAATGGAGAAGCCAAAGAAAACTATATTTCTATGGCTTTGGGTTTTTTTTTTGCTCCAAAACGGCTTTGGTTTCATTGTTCTTGGCTTTAGAAGCCCTTCTTGTGTGTGCTCGTTTGATAGGGTTTTTAATTAAGTCGGTAGAGAGGCTCCAACAAAAAGTCATGCCAAAGAGAGCCTAATAACTATCAATCCTTAGGATAAAGCAGACTAAGTATGCACACCTTTATTTTCTTGACATATAATACTAGGATATATGAGAAAGTCTAAAACATATAATTCACAGCTATCAAACCAAATCTTATTGAACACAAAATTATCTAGGCTCCCAAAAACCCTTAAGTAACGAACTAAAGCCCCTGCGGCTGTTCCACTAAGATGTAAGCGAAAATGGAATTTCTAGCTTACCTTTGACTACTGTTCAGCTAAGATGTTTGATGTGCCTGCGCACTGACATTCGTACAAGAGCACTAAAAGGGATTAGTAACCTAACTTCCCATGAATAAACCAATATATGTGTTCAAAGTTGTCCACACAAAGTCTTACCTCTTAATTATTGCTTTTTAGTAAATGTTTGGTGCATATGTTTATATCTAGAAGCAAAATTGTGCAAGCCACCATAGACACATAAGTAAACCTTTGCAGCCCATTAACTTAACAACACCAAGGTCATTAAATCAGCTGGAACCTATCAGTAACAATTTCGATGTTGGTAACAACAAAGTACGAAACTTCTTGGGCAAACAAAATTTATGACGAATATGATGTTTAAATTATTATCCCATGAATAAATTAATGAAAATTTTGCAGAGGGACACCAAACTTGTGTGGAATTGGCCGCTTAACACGCTAGCTCACTTTTCTCTTAGGTAGCATTACCAAAGATAGGATCCTTGCTGATGGACACCACACCCACTAAAATAATATTTTGATTTGGGCTATCTAAATCCAAAGGTAAAGCCCCAAGATTGAAGTACCAACAGTTCCTGCCAGCACTCAGTCAAACCATCATAGCGTAGCAGCAGCAGCAACACTTCCTGCCAGCACTCAATCAACTAACCGTGGCGAACCCTGCCACCTACTGGCAACAGCAGCTGCTTGCATCCAACCCACTGGCTCCGGCGAACGCCGCTACATACCAGCAACAACAACAACTGCAACAGGTCCTGTCAGCGGTCAGTCAACTAGCCGTGGCAAACCATGCGGCCTACCTGCAACAACAACATCTGCTTGCATCCAACCCACTGGCTGCAGCCAATGCCGCTGCAAACCAACAACAATAGCAGCTGCAACAAATCCTACCAGCGCTCAGTCAACCAGCCGTGGTGAACCCCGCCGCCTACTTGCAACAGCAACAGCAACAGCTTCTTCCATTCAACCAGCTGGCTGCGGCGAACACCGCTGCATACCTGCAACAACATCAGCTGCTTCCAGTTAACCCACTGGCAGTTGCTAACCCATTGGTTGCCGCCTTCCTGCAGCAGCAACAAT